CCACTTTATTAGAAACACCCACCTTCTGCTTCCACTAACTGGCCACTTTATTAGAAACACCCACCTTCTGCTTCCACTAACTGGCCACTTTATTAGAAACACCTACCTTCTGCTTCCACTAACTGGCCACTTTATTAGAAACACCTACCTTCTGCTTCCCCTGACTGGCCACTGTATTAGAAACACCCAACTTCTACTTCCACTGACTGGCCACTGTATTAGAAACACCTAGCTTTTACTTTTCAGGTGGTTGCTAGTGTGTTGCTAGGCGGTTGCTGTGGTATCCCAGAGGGTTGCTAGGGTGTTGCTAGGTGATTGCTATGGTATCACAAGTTGCTATGCTGGAATCCCAGGTGGTTGCTAGCGTGTTGCTAGTCACTTGCTACCATATGCCTTATGGTTGCTAAGGTGTTGCCTGGCGGTTACTATGATATCTTAGGTGGTTGCTAGGATGTTGCAAAGTGGTTGCTATGGTATCCTAAGTGGTTGCCAGGGTGTTTGCTAGGCAGTTACTATAGTATCTCAGGTGTTTGCTACGGTGTTGCTAGTGGTTGCTATGTTATGTCCTGTGGTTGCAAGGGTGTTACTAGGAAGTTGCTATGATATCCTAAGTGGTTGGAATGTTGTCGATATCTCGAAAACTGCAGGCCGAGTTAGCAGACAAAAATCTGGCAGAAAAAATATTAAGAAGAAATGAGATAAATCGGGTCACAATGCGCAACACTAAGGCCGCTACACACCAAATCGTTTTTCCAAGCGATTTATTCGGCGACGGTAAATTAATTAGAACACTTTTTTGTTCATTCTCTGTAAGATTCTTGCCAACTTTCACCAGCAACAAAAAGTCTCTGGCCAATCACATTTGCCTCTGCTGTTGGCATGGCAACAACCAAGCTGATGGAGCAGCAAAGAGAACTTTTTCACAAACGCCGACAAGATCGAAATCTCAGAAACAGCTCAAACTGAGCTACAAACAGAATCCAACTAAGTTACAGCCTGTGTGGAAGTGCTGTTACTGCGACTGAATGAGGTGGAGAACCTTTATGTTCTCCTTTCCCTTTTACACAGTGGAACCCGTCCTGCGTGCTGTGGTGGAGTGAAGGAGCTGCTCAGAGATGTTTAATAGGTACAGCGCACTGTGGCCTCAACTCTGAGTGAGGACACTGTACAGAGTGAGTGACGGGGCAGTGAGGGTGAGGAGACAGTGTCCTCCTCCTCAGCGTTCCTCTGAGAGGTCAGCGGTCAGCCTGGCTCTACTGTCCACCCACTGCTCATCATCATTATCTGTCAGAACCACACAACAGCTTCACTCGTCCTCTATCATCCCTCTATCATCCCTCACACTCTCCTCTATCATTCTTCTCTCTCCTCCTCTATCATCCCTCACTCTCTCCTCCTCTATCATCCCTCTCTCTCTCCTCCTCTATCATCCCTCACTCTCTTCTCCTCCATCATCCCTCTCTCTCTCCTCCTCCATCATCCCTCACTCTCTTCTCTATCATCCCTCACTCTCTTCTCCTCCATCATCCCTCTCTCTCTCCTCCTCCATCATCCCTCACTCTCTTCTCTATCATCCCTCACTCTCTCCTCCTCCATCATCCCTCACTCTCTCCTCCTCCACCATCCCTCACTCTCTTCTCCTCTATCATCCCTCACTCTCTTCTCCTCCATCATCCCTCACTCTCTCCTCCTCTATCATCCCTCACTCTCTCCTCCTCCATCATCCCTCACTCTCTCCTCCTCCACCATCCCTCACTCTCTCCTCCTCTATCATCCCTCACTCTCTTCCTCCATCATCCCTCACTCTTCCTCCATCATCCCTCACTCTCTCCTCCTCTATCATCCCTCACTCTCTCCTCCTCCATCATCCCTCACTCTCTCCTCCTCCATCATCCCTCACTCTCTTCTCCTCCATCATCCCTCACTCTCTCCTCCTCCACCATCCCTCACTCTCTCCTCCTCTATCATCCCTCACTCTCTCTTCCTCCATCATCCCTCACTCTCTCCTCCTCTATCTTTTCTTAAACAGGTTAAATTACTGTAAATAAGTGAAATTATATTATTTCTCATCAGTGAAAATGTAATAATTTCAGTAGATAAAATTGCTGACGTAAGATTCTTTAAAGTAAATATATTTTCACAGTAATCTCTGTTTCTAAATCAAATAAAAAACGATTCTCTAATATTCTCACTCTTTATATACTGTCATATCATGTCGTATAATGAAGGTTATACAGCTGCCTCTTGGTAGACAGTACATATGTCATATCTGTAGCTAAAAGCTCTGAACATGTAAACAAGCCGAGACACCTGAAATGACTTCAGCACAATATAAAGTAGAATTTTTCTCTTTCACCACCTCAGTTCACACCTGAAGTGTGAATACTGTCACTTCCTTTGCTGTGCTGTTAATCAGACGTGAAAATAAGAGTGTAAATGTTCCGTTTCTCTATTTAAAGGAACAGTCAGATGTTTCCTAAACAAACTTTCATTTTCAGTTTAAGCCTTCATTGTGTCATCTAACAAAGCTGAAAAGGCTTAGACTTGTATACTTCAAGGGTGTCCAAACTTTTTTCAAAGTAGGCCAGATCATACTGTGACTAAATACCTCAGAGCTGAAATATTATTCAAAAATGATTCAAAATTTGTTTACAAAATATGAGCACATAGAATCAGAGCTGTCTATGAGCTGCAGTGTTTCCTATCACTGTGTAAAAGATGCACGATGATTTATTGTTGGATTGTTCAGAGCAGTTTGGATCAATGAGCGCTTATAACAAATAATTACAACTCCATTTCCAAAAAAGTTGGGACGCTGTGCACGATAAACAAAAATAGAATGCAATGATGTGCAAATCATGTAAACCATATTTTTAAAGGCACCCAGGTTCTTTTAATATGGAGCAATGCTGCTGTAATACGTGCAGAATGTGGTTTGACATTGTCTTACTGAAATAATCAAGGCCTTCCCTGAAAAAGACGTCGTCTGGATGGCAGCATATGTTTCCAAAACATGTATATATCATTCAGCATTAATGGTCCCTTCACAGATGTGCACATCTCCCATGCCATGTGCACAAATGCCCCCCTATGCCATCATGAATACTGGCTTTTGAACTGTGTACTGATAACAAGCTGAGTGGTCTTCAGCCCGGAGGACACAGTGTCCATGATTTCCAAAAAGTCCATTTTAAATGAGGTCCGGCCCAGAGGAGGTGGCAGCGTTTCTGGGTCCTGTTTATGTACAGTTTCTTCTTTGCGTTTTAGAGTTTTAACTTGTATTTGTGGATGCAGTGATGAACTGTTTTCACAGACAGTGGTTTTCACAAGTGTTTCTGAGCTCATGCAGTGATTTCCACTACAGAATCCTGTCTGTTTTTAATGCAGTGCTGCCTGAGGGCCCGAAGATCAGAGCCTGCAAATACTGGTTTTTAGCCTTGTCCCTTACATACAGAGATTTCTCCAGATTCTCTGAGTCTTTAAATGTTATTATGTACTGTAGACGATGAAAAGCAGAAGTTCTTTGCTATTTTACTTTGAGAAACGTTATTCTTCAATTGTTGCACTGTTTGATTGTGCAGTCTTTCACAGAGTGGTGAACCCCTCCTCATCTTTACTTCTGGAAGTCTCAGCCTCTCTGAGATGTTCTTTATACCCAATCACGTTACTGACCTGTTGCCAATTAACCACCAGGTGTTTTTTTTTAGCATTACACAACTTTACCAGCCTTTTGTTGCTCCCGTCCCAACTTTTTTGAAATGTGTTGTTGGCATCAAATTCAAAATGGGCAAATATTTTTCAAAAAACAATTTCTCAGTTTCAACATCTGATTTGTTGTCTTTGTACTATTTTCAAATAAATATAGGGTTTAAAAGATTTGATCACTTTATTAGACAAGAATAAACAGCCGTTATTGTTCCACTTTAAAGGGTTAATATTTCCTGAGCTGCTGAATCTGCTCTGATATGAAGTCGGTGCTGTGAGACTCAGAGCTGCAGCTGCTTTAGTTTCTCTCCTGAATATTTACTGTAATCTTCATGCTGTTTCATGTCTGTTGGTATTAAATTCATTATAGTCTTATGAAATATGAGGCTTGTTTTCTGCGGCTCTCAATGAAAAAGTTCACATTCCATCAAAATATGTGGCTCTCAGTCTTAGTCTGAGCTTTACAGCTGCTGTCTGGACTAAATGTGGTCAGCAGATGAAGCTGCAGGTCAGTTGGAGAAGAAAGGCTCTTAAACATTAGCTACTTCGTTACCACAGTGCAGCGTTACACTGTAATCTTACAGCACTGCTGCCACCATTAGGTGAGAGAAAGAACTGCAGCGCACTGTCTGATTGGCCACTCACTGTCCACTCTATTAGACACTCCTACCTTGTTGGTCCACCTTGTAGATGTAAAGTCAGAGACGATAGCTCATCTGCTGCTGCACAGTTTGTGCTGGTCATCCTCTAGTCCTTCATCAGTGGTCACAGGATGCTGCCCACAGGACGCTGTTGGCTGGATATTTTTGGTGGGTGGACTATTCTCAGTCCAGCAGTGATGCTGAGGTGTTTAAAAACTCCAGCAGCACTGCTGTGTCTGATCCACTCAGACCAGCACAACACACACTAACACACCACCACCACATCAGTGTTACTGCAGTGCTGAGAATGATTCACCACCCAAATAGTACCTGCTCTGTGAGGGTCCATGGGAGTCCTGACCACTGAAGAACAGGGTAACAAAGTATGCAGAGAAACAGATGGACTACAGTCTGTAACTGTAGAACTACAGAGTGAAACTATACGGTCAGTGGAGCTGATAAAGTGGACAGTGAGTGTAGAAACGAGATGGTGTACTTACTGAAAAGGCCAGTCGCTGTATATTTTGTGAATCTGATATATTTCTCGTGTTGGCACGTTGTCCCCTGAGGAAAAATGACCCAAACTCCAGAAAAGCACCAACTAAAGACACACTGGACACTGGACGTTTCAAAACATGAAAAACTTCCAATTTATTGTGTTTTTATGACAAGTTACATATAAAACAGTTTAATCTGAGAGTGTAAAGTCTTTGGTATTTGGTTTTGTTTTTGGTACTCAGTCCTCGCTGATCTCCACAATCATTTATTTCAATAACTCAGAGACAGAAACATATTTTTACGTGAAATCTGTCAGAATGTTCACACAAACCATTGCTTAAAAAGAATCATCTGTTTAATTGAGCTCCCAACAAACTAAAATTAAGACCATCGGATTCATGGTCCCCACCATTACGTTTATAACTCATAAACTGACCTTTTCATGCTCAAAAATATGTTATTTTGTAGCTACTGTTGTGGAGTTGGACAAGTTTTACAGACCACTGATGAAAATCCATTTCAACCTAATGAGAAACAGCACTTCTCAAATGAATGACTAACCGACTCTAAATGTAGGTATTGTGATATAAACTGAGTCTGTTCTACAGTTTCTCATTAGGCTGAATGAATAACCGACTCTAAATGTAGGTATTGTGATATAAACCGAGTCTGTTCTACAGTTTCTCATTAGGCTGAATGAATAACCGACTCTAAATGTAGGTATTATGATATAAACCGAGTCTGTTCTACAGTTTCTCATTAGGCTGAATGAATAACCGACTCTAAATGTAGGTATTGTGATATAAACTGAGTCTGTTCTACAGTTTCTCATTAGGCTGAATGAATAACCGACTCTAAATGTAGGTATTGTGATATAAACTGAGTCTGTAAAGCTGGTTCAACCTCCCAACATTAGCCATTAGCTCCGAAAGAACACATTTGTGGGCGGAGCCTGGGGACAGGAAATGGACGCACATGGAAAATGACTGGAAAGGTTGTAAAAGGTGATTACTGTTCGAGCAGAAACACCTGTGTGCAGGTGAGAGCGGCTGTTTTTAAGGAGAGAGTGAGCGAGAGAGCTGGAATGCAGGGAATGCAATGTTTTTTGTTGGCGGGTGTAACACTTCTCTGGCTTTTTGCTTTGATGTTCCAGAGTTACAAAGAGGACAGACGGGTGTGTGTGTGTGTGTGTGTGTGTGTGTGTGTGTGTGTGTGTGTGTGTGTGTGTGTGTGCGCATGTGAAGCTGGCAGAAACAAAAGCTATTTTTTCAGGCTGGTTTGGTCCCATTACTGTCTATAATACTCTCCATATAAAACACAGAAATAAATAATACTGCAGTTACTATGTGTGTGTGTGTGTGTGTGTGTGTGTGTGTGTGTGTGTGTGTGTGTGTGCAGGAAGGCACAGACAGATAAAACTACAAAATATCAACACACAGACAGAAGGCTACATATCTGCATCAGTCAAGGCTGGAGAGAACACTGAGAGGACGCTGTATGTATGTAGGTGTGTGCATGTGTGTTTCATCGAGGAGGCCGTGAGTGACACACACACTCGCAGCGTTCGTGGTGCTGCAGGTGGATCTCCTCCAGAACCCAGCGCGCTCGGGTCTTCTTCCTGTAGTAGTTCTGTCCCGGAGAGAACTTCAGCACCTACAAAGGCATCAAAGACAATTTAAACACAACAACAACAACAACAACAACAATGCTGTGTTCACGTGTTTGCGGTAGACAGCAAACCATATGTTTCACTGTTTTCATTGGAGCTGCAACGGAAAATGCTACAACTGCATTTGGCAACAGTCCACAGTCCACAGCGGTGAGGGGAGTGATCCATTAAGAGTTAAATCTTCCCAACTTTTGCTGTCGACTACAGCGAAGGAATAAACTGGATACTGACTTTTAGGGAGCCATAAACGCCAAACATCTCGTCGTTGAATTCCAGACGAGTTTAGTATTATACGCAACAAAAAAAAAATTCTGTCGACCACAAAACTTTCCCTCACAGCTGCGGAGTCTTTCCAGGCCTGTCGATCGAGAAACTTTCCCTTTTATTTTATTTGTATATCACTTTATTAAAAGAGCGCAGAGCGCCTCCTGCCTTTCTCCACCTCAAATAAACAATCTACACTGCTAAAGTTCTCCTTTGACAATCATCTATTTTTGCTGACACCATGGTCACCATGGCAACACTTCCGTAGCTTCATGCCCCCGTCAGCCGCGTACAACTATAAGGTGCGGAATGATGGTTTTTTTTCAACGGAAACGTGAATGTGATGCACAGAAATGAAAATTCTTGACTGAAACTGAAATTTAGGATGCGCTCAAAAACCAAAATGGAAACCTGAAAGCAACTGTTCTTTTACATATAGAATTTTCCATTTTATTTATGCTTTCAAAATAATGCAATAATGCTGTCGATGCTACAAAGGTAATAATCGCCATGTTGGGAAGCTTTTGCCTGTGCTGAGAAAGGATCAAATCTGCAACCTTATTTCGATTGAGACTGAGGACTGAGCAGCAGTATGTTTTATTAGAGTTCAGCAGGATGTTCCTCGTCCTCCTTCCTATATGTGTAACAATGTGAGCGAGTGAGTTTGTTAAAAAAGTCTTTCTGGGCTTATCGAAAGAGAAAGTTTCTCTCAAGGCTAAGGATTCTTGCTGGGTCTGTTGACTGAGGGACTTCTCATCGTAGCTAATGGAGTCATCAAGGGTTTACTGGTTGAGAAACTCATGGCTAAGGGACTTCCTGGAACTGTCGACTGATAAACTTTCCCTTTGTGGCTACAGAGTCTTTCCTGGCCTATCAACTGAGAAACTTTACTTCACAGCTACAGAGTCTTTCCTGGCCTGTCGACCGAGAAACTTTCCCTTGTGGCTAAGAGACTTCCTGGGACTGTTGACTGAGAAATTTTCCTTCATGGCTAAGACACTTCCTGGGCCTGCTGACCAAATAAAAACTTTCCCTGTGTGGCTAAGGAGTCTTCCCAGGTCTTTTCCTCAGAGGTACGGAGTCTTTCCAGGCCTGTCGACCAAGAAACTTTCCATCACAGCTAATGGAGTCATCAAGTGTTTACTGGTTGAGAAACTCATGGCTAAGAGACTTCTTGGGACTGTCGACTGATAAACTTTCCTTCATAGCTACGGAGTCTTTCCAGGCCTGTCGACCAAGAAACTTTCCTGCAGCTGCGGGTCTTTCCAGGCCTATTAACCAAGAAATTTTCCCTTGTGGCTAAGAGACTTCCTGGGCCTGCTGACCAAATAAAAACTTTCCCTCGTAGCTAAGGAGTCTTTCTGGGGTGGTCAACTGAGAGACTTTCCAAAGAGTAAAATCTTTATACCACAGCTAAGTAGTCTTCTTAGGCCTTTAATCCCTTTTAAAGTACCAAACGATTCACCTGTGTACTGGTTTACTGGTATTTCTGATAATATGATACCTTTCTACTACAAAACAAACACCTTAACATGAGACTGTTAAGGACACGTTGATAGGACGCATTTTTTAGGATGTGGTAGCAAATAGCACCCTTGCGCACACACACACACACACACACACACACACACACACACACAACACACACACACACACACACAAAAGTATGTCAGTCTATCCTGAAGCTGTCATCACTTCTGAGTTTAGAGATTAAACAGTAGTGCTTCCTTAACCAACACTTGTCTTTCCAGCAATTTACTGATAACACAGTGTAACAAAATAAAGCACTCCTCAGGACTGATCAAAGAGAGAGAGAGAGGGAGGAAGAGAGACTGAGAAGAGAGGTTTGAAGTAGTGAATGAGGGGTATTAGAGGGAGAAAAGTAGAGAGTGAGGGAGTGAGAGAGAGGATGAGGGATTCTGTGAGGGTGTGCAAGAGAAAGATAAAGATGAAGAAAGGAATAAGGGGGAAGAAGAAAGAAAGAAGAGCTGGAGGGCAGCGACAGAGATAAAACAGAGTTTAATAAAAAAGACTCGAAGAGTGTGTGTGTGTGTGTGTGTGTGTGAGAGTGTGTGTGTGTGGTGTGTGTGTGAGAGTGTGTGTGTGTGTGAGTGTTTAATGCTGATAAGAATGAAACAGAACACATACTCATAAGTTTGTTTTTGCAAAATGTAAGGACACAGGGTTGTACACACACACACACACACACACACACACATATATATATATATACACACATACACACACCTTAAGAATCAGATCGCTCATCTTCAAATGTAAGTTTTCCAGAGAATGAAAAAGCATTTCTAATTCTTAATGTAAGTCAGTGCAAGAAGATTTTGCTTCCAAGTAATTATGGATCGTTTCTATTGGTTGATTCATCATGACATTTTGACACAATGAATAGGGCAGCCTACACACACACACACACACACACACACGCAGTCTCCAGTGTGTGTGTGTGTGAGTTGTGCGTTCATTGTGTGTGTTTCCTGTGTGTACACTGTGTGTGTGGGTGTAGTGTGTGTATTATTTGTTTGTGTGTGTGTGTGTGTGAGTGTATTGTGCGTTCACAGTGTGTGTTTCTTGTGTGTGTAGTGTGTATGTGTGTGTGTGACTGTATAGTGTGTGTCTAGTGTTATTGTGTGTAGTGTTTTTTAGTGTGTGCACAGTGTTTTTATTGTGTGTGTGTGTGTGTGTAGTGTGTTTTTAGTGTGTGCACAGTGTGTTTTTATTGTGTGTGTGTGTGTGGTGTGTTTTTAGTGTGTGCACAGTGTGTTTTTATTGTGTGTGTGTGTGTGGTGTTTTTAGTGTGTGCACAGTGTGTTTTTATTGTGTGTGTGTGTGTGTGTAGTGTGTTTTTAGTGTGTGCACAGTGTGTTTTTATTGTGTGTGTGTGTAGTGTGTTTTTAGTGTGTGCACAGTGTGTTTTTATTGTGTGTGTGTGTGTGGTGTTTTTAGTGTGTGCACAGTGTGTTTTTATTGTGTGTGTGTTGTGTAGTGTGTTTTTAGTGTGTGCACAGTGTTTTTATTGTGTGTGTGTGTGTAGTGTGTTTTTAGTGTGTGCACAGTGTTTTTATTGTGTGTGTGTGTGTGTAGTGTGTTTTAGTGTGTGCAGTGTTTTTATTGTGTGTGTGTGTGTGTAGTGTGTTTTTAGTGTGTGCAGTGTTTTTATTGTGTGTGTGTGTGTAGTGTGTTTTTAGTGTGTGCAGTGTTTTTATTGTGTGTGTGTGTGTGTGTGTAGTGTGTTTTTAGTGTGTGCACAGTGTTTTTATTGTGTGTGTGTGTGTGTGTGTGTGTGTGTGTGTGTGTGTGTGTGTGTGTAATATGATCCGACGTTCTGTGGTGAATTAAATGTTCTATGCGCCAAAATAAACTAACACGACCAAAACATCTGCTGTGTTTGGAATTCCTCCTCCTGGTGCTGATAGTGGACGATTCTGCTGTTTGGACTGACCAGTTCTTTGTCCTCTAAACCCAAACTGACCACAGCATCAGGATCAGCAATAATAATAATAATAATAATAATCATTTGGGATACAACAGCAACTGACTAGCAACACCTTAGCCTACACCGGGAATGCCACAGCAACCACCTAGCAACACACTAACACATTAGCACCTGACATACCATAGCATCACCCAGCAATGCCCTAGCAACTATATAGGATACCATAGCAACCACCTAGCAACCACATAGGATACTATGGCAACCACCTAGCAACACCTTAGCAACCATTTGGGAATACAAAAGTAACTGCCTAGCAACACCTTAGCAACCACCGGGAATGCCATAGCAACCATCTAGCAACACACTAACACATTAGCACTTGACATACCATAGTGTCACCTAGCAATGCCCTAGCAACCATAAAGGATACCATAGTAACCACCTAGCAACATCCTAGCGACAACCTAGCAACATCATGGCAAGCTTAATTTGGGCAATCACTCTTCAGTTACTTCACTTTTTTAGTTGAAGTGAGGACCCTGTTGGGGTTCATCCTAAAGTTAGGACAGGATTTAGGAGGTTTAGTCTAGTTAGGATGTTTGTGTGATGCTGTTTTCTTATCTGGAGTTCATGATGAGATTATGAAGTCAGGAACTGTTACTCTGGAATAGCGACTGTCCTGAATTCAGTCCGGACTGAAGTCGTCATGGAGACCAAACAGGTCAGATTTCAGAGATGTTTCTGTAATACGGCCCTTGAAACTCGTCAGTCTGAATATGAAGCTGGAGGTGGGTGAAGATCTACCTCGTGTAGTTTGTTGACGGTTTTGCCGGCGCCGCAGCTGCAGGAGTTCCAGTTGCTCGTGCCGCAGCCACAGTTTCCGCCGCAGCGCTGCACGAGCAGGCACCGTGGGAAAAACACTGCGTTGGTGGCCTTCAGCTCCTCCCGCAGGTTGACCGAGAAATTGCGCGGAGTGCAGCTGTACTGCCTTACGTCTTCATTCAGACGATCCAGATCAACTGAGAGAAAAACAGACAAATTAGTGGGTGTGTCTGTGTGTGTGTGTGTGTGTGTGTGTGTGTGTGTTTGTGTGTGTTGGGAGGAGTCTGCCAGCAGCAGCTTAATGTGAGAAGAGCTGACTGTGCAGTATCTAAACTGTGGCCTTCAGACTCCAAGAACTGACCCAAACCTCCTGGAATTATAATCATCATTATGTGAATCTCCACCAATTTTCCAAAATTCTCTGCATAAATAACCGGTTAAGATGTAAACAGAGTCGTTCAGAGTGGTTTGAGAAACTTGCGGAGTCAAAGTTGTTCACAGTGGTGGTGATATGAACCAGACGTCCACCTCTAAAAGCTCCCTCACAGAAAGTTACTACATGAAATGGTTATGAATTCACTGCCTGATGACTGAGACACTGTTTTATGATAGTTTAGAGATTTTGGTTCTAACATATATATTTTTATTAAAATGTATACATATATTTGTGTTGTAGTCAAAGCGACCCCTGGTTCCTATCACCACCACGGTAAAAAAAATCTGAACCATTTCGCATTTAGCCCGATATTATTATCGAGATTTCTCATTTAGGCAGATAAACAGGAATGAACATAAACAATGTTTATTTAAAGTAACAATGCAGCAAACACTACATATGTATTTTTATATTTATATACATTGCCTCCAGCGTCCTGTATTTGTGTGTGTGTGTTTGTGTGTGTGTGTGTGTGTGTGTGTGTGTGTGTGTGTGTGTGTGAGTGTGTGAGTGTGTGTGTGTGTGTGTGTGTGTGTGGGTGTGTTAAGGAGACACAGTTGAATAATCCTCATTAAAAGCAGGTAAATAGTTAACTACTACTCTCTCTCTCTCTCTTGCTCTGCTTCAGAAGCCTGGCATGAGTGAATCTCTTCTACACACCCACACACACACACATCCACACACACACACACACACACACACACACACACACACTGAGCGTGAGGAATGTGCAGTAAATGCAGGTTTATCACAAACACACAGAGCACTCAGAGAGTAACAACTCACAAAATTCCTCATTTACATTCACGCACTTGGGAAACTTAATCATGTTACTGAGGGAGGTGAACGTAGCGTCTTGTCCTCGGACCCTTACATGGGTGCAGCGTGGGGTCCTCACCCAGGCGGGGCATCAAACCCAGCCTGCCAGACGGAGGGCAGCTGTTACCCACAGTCCTGTACCTACAGCTTCTCTTTTACCCAGTACAGTGATGCCTCAGTTCAATTCACAGGCTACTGTGCTAGCCATAAACTAATATGCTAACCATGAGCTAATGCAATAGCCACAAGTTAATATGCTAGCCAGGAGCTAATAATCAGAAAGTGTTCCAGCCACAAGGTTATAGGCTAGCTAAGAGCTAATACTCAGGCCACAAACTAATGGGCTAGCCACAAGTGAAATATGCTAGCTGCCTCACACAGTATAAGGAGTACTACTACCAGGGGGTCGACTGATTAATATAATATTTTAATAATATTTATTTATTGATCATGTTTTTGTTTCATTTGTTTAATTGGGTTCTTTTCATGTACCTTTATGACTTACTGTCACTTAGAAAATCAACGACAGCGTGGAATTTGAAGGAGTGTATTCACAAGTTCTGCGCACGACTGTACAGTAGAGTACTGTAAGAAAGCACTACTAAGGAGAAAACACTATAGATCACTATAGACAATCACTATAGACGATCACTACACTCACCCTTCTGTGTGCGGTCGGCATAGTAACTGCGTGGTATGTAGTAGTGTGTGTGAGTGTAGATGCTGTTGAGGTCCTGCTGCCAGGTTTGAGGGTTCAGGTGCTTCATAACCTCCGCAACCGTACTGAACCCGGCGATGACATCATCAAGATCATCCACTGAGAGGGGAGCTTCAGTTACATCCTTCAGAGAGAGAGAGAGAGAGAGAGAGAGAGAGAGAGAGAGAGAGAGAGATAACACATCTAGATAACAATACCTACATTTAGAGTCAGTTATTCATTCAGCCTAATGAGAAACTGTAGAACAGACTCGGTTTATATCACAATACCTACATTTAGAGTCGGTTATTCATTCAGCCTAATGAGAAACTGTAGAACAGACTCAGTTTATATCACAATACCTACATTTAGAGTCGGTTATTCATTCAGCCTAATGAGAAACTGTAGAACAGACTCGGTTTATATCACAATACCTACATTTAGAGTCGGTTATTCATTCAGTCTAATGAGAAACTGTAGAACAGACTCGGTTTATATCACAATACCTACATTTAGAGTCGGTTATTCATTCAGTCTAATGAGAAACTGTAGAACAGACTCGGTTTATATCACAATACCTACATTTAGAGTCGGTTATTCATTCAGTCTAATTTGGTGTCAGTTATTTGGTATCTTTGTATATTTTGTGGGTGGTGTCTGTATTTTGGCTGTGTATCGGTCAGTGTGTTCTTACCGACACGGCTGTGACCGTCTCCCAGTTAGTAAAGGACAGCAGAGGAGGATCATTCTGAAAGAGAGAAATCATGACTCGACACTTTTATTATCCTTCTCTTACCTTTATATTATCACAACCACACAAGATCCTCTCAATATCCATATTTATAATTTCTGAAGAATTAAAATAAGTAATTTCTTTTACTTTATTTACTGATTTCACTCCAATATTCATGAAGTATTTTGTACCCTGAGGGGAACAAGATGTATTTTCCTGAAGCATGAAAAAAAAAATAAAAATGGGTTTTTAACCCTCTAAATCACCCCTCCATACACACACATTTGTTTATGTGATTTGTGGGGACATGTCATAGCCTTGCATTCATTTCCTGGAGACTCTCAAACCTTAACTACTACTACACTAACCTTAACCTTAAAACATCTCTTCACCTTAAAATTTAATGATTTACATTGTGGGGACCAGCTTGTAAGAAAGGTCCCCACAATGTTAGTGTATAGTGTATTGTCCCCACAATGTGCTATAAACATGGTACACCACAACACACACACACACACACCTTTAGACACTCTCACATTCCTGAAGAAGCACATGATGCCGTTATATAAATCTGACTCCACAGACAATAGTGTGGGGTCAGAGGTCACACGAGGAAAGCGATAAGCTCATCTCTACGGAAACCAGATCAAACGCAGCCCACACACGCTTCCTGTTCAGGAACGCCGCGGTTCCAGGAAGTCTGGAGCAGGACAGCAGGAAACACACACACACACACACCTACACACACACACACACACATACACACACACACACACACACACACACACCCACACACACCTGTATACCCAAAATATAAATGAGCAGAATAAACAGAACACACAGAGAGAATCTAGAACATCCTACAGAACAGAGAGTACAGAGAGAGAGAATACAGAGAGAGAGACAAAGGAGAGAAAGAGAGAAAGAGAGAGACAGAGAGAGAGACAGAGAGAGAGACAGAGAGAGAGTGAGTTACTGTTATCTTCCAGAAGTGGTTGTGGAGGCGAACAGCTGTTAAAGTGATAGCACCACACGCACACACACACACACACACGCACACACACGCACACACACCACACACACACACGCACACACACACACACACGACACACACATTTCTCTTCTATCCTGACTGACAGGTTGTAAAGCATTACAGGAACATAGTGAACTACTACAATTATTGCTATTATTACTATGATTGATGTATTATTATTATTATTATTATTATTATTACTACAGATGCCACAAAATTTAAATCCTGTGCTGAAACTGAAATTCAATGCAGTGTGTAGTTACAGAATGTCCCACGAAATCCGGTGTCCTCAACACCGAAGACCAGCTGCTCTTCTAAGACAACGAACTCCGTTATTCTCGCTTATTGTTCACACTGTGGGCTGAATGTTACAGTAGTGTGCAGCAGCCCTTCACCGCATCACTGTAACTGTGTCTGTGTTTACATGCAAAGATTTTCTCCAATCTGATGAAAATATCAGTTTATATGCTCACTACAAGTAATCAGATCCAAAGTTACACGCATGCGTAGAGAACTGCTTAGTGTAGACGTTACCATGACAACCAGCATCACGTGAGTCCAGTCAGAGTGAGATGAGCAGCAGTGAGCAGTGCTTTTAACTGCTTTAAAATGATGTCAGACTCAGGAAAAAGTCCTTCACATGTCCTTATTAAAGAAGGCCGAGAGGAAGACGTCGTGTTCTGAGACACATAAACTGGACGTCCGTCCCACCGCCGTCTTTTAAAGATCAGAGCATAAACTTCGTCTCCTCTGCAGACCAGTTTCTGCTCCGCCATGTTGAACGGTATAAACTTTCACTATGACGTGACGAACACGATCAGAATGGACTTAAACTTTCTGATAGGGAATGTAATCAGATACAGGCGTTTACACGGATATTATTCTTCTATTTAACGGATTTTTTACAGGATTACCCACCTCGATCAATTGTTTAGAAATTGTGATCTGAATGGCCTCATTTGGACTAGACTATTCCGATTGAGCTATTAGTCAGATTATTAACGGATCATCAGGCAGCATGTAAATGTGGCTAGAGTAACTACAGTAGATCAGTGCTGTAATAAAGCTCATCTGTAATCTGTAATCCAGCTGTTTAGCTGTATAAATTTAGGAACGCAGCGAAATTTTGGGCTGATGCTGATCTCCGATATTTCACATATCTTTACATCTTGATGCACGCCAAACTGCCATCTGTGAAGGCCACCACACATCGGACGCACTGTGTCAAAAAGCATCGCACAGCGTTTTAATGGAGGTATGCACACCTGTCGGTGCTCCACCGATCACTGTTCAGTTATTTGGCCTGTCACAGCACTTCACACAGAATTTCAACATCACTATATTAAATAAAAGCCATACTGAGACCACAGAAATCCTCAGTAGAAAACTACACAGAGAGCTATACAGTCTTTTAGACAGGTGCTAATGGGAAGCTACAAGCCTAGTTACTAGCCTAACCTTTTTCAGCTCATATCTTTCACCTTCAAAACAAGCAACAGGTAGTGAACTGATACCAAACGTGATTAGTTATGCTGAACACTTCATTTCATTCAGTTTATACCAGCAGAGTGTAACAATGAACTTTAACCTGCCGTTTATTGGCTCTCCCTGCTGATGCCTCAAGCACAAGAATGTAACTGCTGCACAATTTAAGGTGGAACTAGAGAATCCAAACAAGAAGCTGGTGAATAAGAAGATGACTTCAGCTTCGTAGTCTTGATGCTGTTTTTGATAAGGAGATTTAAGAATATCAAAACATCCCATCTGGACTTTTATGTACGGAGCTGCCTACCTGAGTAGCTGCAGGTTGTGTGTGCGGTGCTGAGGGAGATTTTAGCTGGGCTGCTGTAGCACATCCAGCGTCGCCCAACGTTAATGGTGCTTTTAATAAACGCATCATCAAATATGGGTTTGGAATATCACCCAAATCTACGCACTGGCCCAATATTGATGATGTTTAAAAAAGCAACTCGGCCAATACAGACATCATTCCAATTTCGTTGTGGTTCCCAACACTCTTTGCAAAAATGGTTCTATGAAGCACCAAAACGGATTCCATGAACACTTAAAGAACAATTTGCATGATTAAACGTTATTTGCATCATGAAAGCGTTCTTCAGATTGAGGGAGAATGTGCTGTTCATGGCTCTATATGAAGAACCCTTTCATGATGCAAATAACGTTTAATCATGCAAATTGTTCTTTAAGTGTTCATGGTTCTATGTAGATGTGTTTTCTCTACCAAAGAACCGTCGAAGAACCATTTTTTTTTTAAGTGTATAAATGAGAGAAACTCACCACTGGAGTGTAGCACAGTTTGAATCCCGGCTTGGCCACGAAGTAATCGTCTGATTTGAAGGTGATCTTGATGTGGTTGGTCCTGGACGTTATGGGCCGGGGGGCTTTCCTCCCACACCAGCGACCCCAGATTATAGTGGTGGTCTCAGATATGTCCTCCACCTCTACAAAGTCATACCTGCACACACATACACAGAATCAGCACACAGCTGACACACACTCTGATACACTCTTAAGATGGTTCTTTAGTAAAGACAAGTTCTACATTGCCACACCACTGACCATATAGGAGCACTTTCAGGAGCACTTAGTTCTCAGCACTGCAGTAACACCGACGTGGTGGTGGTGTGTTAGTGTGTGTTGCGCTGGTCTGAGTGGATCAGACACAGCAGTGCTGCTGGAGTTTTTAAACACCTCAGTGTCACTGCTGGACTGAGAACCAAAAACATTCAGCCAACAGCGCCCTGTGGGCAGCGCCCCGTGACCACTGATGAAGGACTAGAGGATGACCAACACAAACTGTGCAGCAGCAGATGAGCTATCGTCTCTGACTTTACATCTACAAGGTGGACTGACAAGGTAGGAGTGTCTAATAGAGTGGACAGTGAGTGGACACAGTGTTTAGAAACTCCAGCAGCACTGCTGTGTCTGATCCACTCAGACCAGCACAACACACACTAACACACCACCACCACGTCAGTGTTACTGCAGTGCTGAGAATGATCCACCACCCAAATAGTACCTGCTCTGTGAGGGTCCATGGGGGTCCTGACCACTGAAGAACAGGGTAAAAGGGGGCTAAGAAAGTATGCAGAGAAACAGATTCACTACAGTCTGTAACTGTAGAACTACAGAGTGAAACTGTACGGTCAGCGAAGCTGATAAAGTGGACAGCGAGTGTATTATATTTATGTATGTATACGATTCAGAACATTTTTAATTCTGGGTGAACGCAGTCCTACAGATTTCTCCTCATTGATCCCTCCATCCTTCCCTCCCTTCGTCCATCCGTCTCACCTGCAGACGTTGTTCTCGGGCTCCTCCAGGCCGAACTGCCCGTCGAACTCCAGCAGGATGCGGGTGTGTGGGGCAGAGAGCAGTTTCCATGACAACAGCAGGTTCCGGGGGTAGGCGTTCGGGTACCGCGGGCTGTGGATCTGCCCGCCTCCCGTAACCATGACAACCTCCTCTTGACGGAACAAGTCTGTGAGGCGATTGGTGTCTGTTAGCGGGGGGCGGGGCCACAACTCAGAGAGGTTAGTGAGGTCACTCAAGGTCACATGCAGCATCATTACAAAAACAGAACATCAGGACTGCACAACATATCGACTGTTAATCATTGTCGCCATCAGGCAATATTGATATCACACTGACAATGATGACAGCAATTAAGGCTCTAATGATTATTTCTATAATTGGACAATCTTTTAAAATGAATCAACTAACCCTAACCAGCACAACATTGCCTTATTTGGTTCCTCTCCCTGTGCATCTCTTACAACAACCGTGTGGATTATATGAACATTAGAGAGCGCCTTTTACATGAAACAATAGAAGTCATATCGCCCCCTACACTTCCTGTAGTGTATTACAGCCTGTCAGAGTGACTGTGTGGATCATAAGAACATTATAGAGGCTTTTTAAATGAAACAGTAGAAGCCATATCGCCCCCTACACTTCCTGTAGTGTATTACAGTCTGTCAGAGTGACTGTGTGGATCATATGAACATTATAGAGGCTTTTTAAATGAAACAGTAGAGGCCATATCGCCCCCTACACTTCCTGTAGTGTATTACAGTCTGTCAGAGTGACTGTGTGGATCATATGAACATTATAGAGGCTTTTTAAATGAAACAGTAGAGGCCATATCGCCCCCTACACTTCCTGTAGTGTATTACAGTCCGTCAGAGTGACTGTGTGGATCATATTAACATTATAGAGCTTTTTAAATGAAACAGTAGAAGCCATATCGCCCCCTACACTTCCTGTAGTGTATTACAGTCTGTCAGAATGACTGTGTGGATCATATGAACATTATAGAGGCTTTTTAAATGAAACAGTAGAAGCCATATCGCCCCCTACACTTCCTGTAGTGTATTACAGTCTGTCAGAGTGACTGTGTGGATCATATGAACATTATAGAGCTTTTTAAATGAAACAGTAGAGGCCATATCGCCCCCTACACTTCCTGTAGTGTATTACAGTCTGTCAGAATGACTGTGTGGATCATATGAACATTATAGAGGCTTTTTAAATGAAACAGTAGAAGCCATATCGCCCCCTACACTTCCTGCTGTGTATTACAGTCTGTCAGAGTGACTGTGTGGATCATATGAACATTATAGAGCATTACAGTGTAGAGGTCTTCAAATCTGGACCTCAGTTTCTGACCAAGATTTTGCAACTGCTGGTAGCTAAAACAAGACATGGTCCATCAGTTGAATGTTTCCATTTCACATTTAATGGGGAAGGAAATACATACAGACAATACAATACAAACAGTGAACTAACAGCAAACCAACAGAGGACCAACAGTGAACCAACAATAAACAGCAAACTAACAGTGAGCCAACAGTGAACTAACAGTGAACTAACAGTAAATCAACAGTGAACAAAGGACGAACTAAAGGCAAACTGACAGTTAACCAACGCTGAACCAACAGTGCAATGGTGAACAATGAACCAACAGTGAATGAAAAGTGAACAGTAAACTAACAGTGAACTAACAGTGGACAAACAGTGAACAGTGAACTAACACTGAACTTAGAGTAAACAGTGAACTAACAGTGAACCTACAGGGAACAGTAAACTAACAGCAAACTAACAGCAAATTAACAGTGAACTAACAGTAAACAGTGAACCTACAGTGAACTAACAGCAAAGTAACAGTGAACAGTGAACTAACAGTGAACAGCAAACCAACAGTAAACAGCAAACTAACAGAGAACTAACAGTGAACAGTGAACTAACAGTGAACAGCGAACTAACAGCGGCCTAAAAGTGAACTAACAGTGAACCTAGTGAACTAACAGCAAAGTAACAGTGAACAGTGGACTAACAGCAAACTACGAACTAACAGCAAACTAACAGCGAACTAACAGCGAACAGTGAACTAACAGCGAACAGTGAACTAACAGTGAACAGTGAACTAACAGCGAAACAGTGAACTAATAGCGAACTAACAGTGAACTAACAGCGAACTAACAGTGAACTAACAGTGAACTAACAGCAAACAGTGAAACTAGTGAACCTACAGTGAACAGTGAACCTAAAGTGAACTAACAGCGAACTAACAGTGAACTAACAGCAAACTAACAGCAAACAGTGAAACTAGTGAACCTACAGTGAGCAGTGAACCTAAAGTGAACTAACAGCGAACTAACAGTGAACTAACAGCGAACTAACAGTGAACTAACAGCAAACTAACAGCAAACAGTGAAACTAGTGAACCTACAGTGAACAGTGAACCTAAAGTGAACTAACAGCGAACTAACAGTGAACAGCGAACTAACAGTGAACAGCGAACTAACAGAGAACTAACAGTGAACAGTGAACTAACAGTGAACCTACAATGAATAGTGAACTAGCAGCAAACTAACAGTGAACCTACAGTGAACTAATAGCAAAGTAACAGTGAACAGCAAACTAATAGTGAACTAACAGCGAAGTAACCGCGAACAGTGAACTAACAGCGAACTAACAGCGAACAGTGAACCTACAGTGAACTAACAGCAAAGTAACAGTGAACAATGAACCTATAGTGAATGAACTAACAGTGACCAGCGAGCTAACAGTGAACTAACAGCGAGCTAACAGTGAAGTAACAGTGAACAGTGAACTAACAGCGAACGACAGTGAACAGTGAACTAACAACGAACTAACAGTGAACAGTGAACTAACAGTGAACAGTGAACTAACAGCGAACTGACAGTGAACAGCGAACTAACAGCGAACAGTGAACAAACAGTGAACTAACAGTGAACAGTGAACTAAAAGAAAACTGACAGCGAACAGTGAACAAACAGCGAACAGTGAACAAACAGTGAACTAACAGTGAACAGTGAACTAAAAGAACTAACAGCGACAGTGACTACATGAACGAACAAAACGTGAACGAACAGTGAACAGTGATGAAATGACAAACTAACTTAAGCTAATCTGCATTTCAGTCAGGAAACAAATGGCTGCTGTGATGAGTCTGTGTGTGTTTGTGTGTTTGTATGTGTGTGGCTCTTTTTGACACTTATGTAAGTGTGGGTATGATAGTGACAGACTGCCAGCTTTGATCTATATCTGTCTAATTTACACCCTAACACATACACACACACACACACACACACACACACACACACAGACATACTCACACACAGACACATATATACACACACTCATACGCTAAAAGCTTTGCCATCTCTGCTTTCTTTAAGCACACACACACACACACACCACACACACATACACACACACACACACAGAGTCAGTCTTGACTGTTTTGAAGCCCAAGCACACTCGACACGTTGTGATTCACGCGTCTCTTTTTCACCTTTAAAAACACCTTTTACTCTTAAAAGACACTTTCACACCCCTCGCATCACACACAGCAAAGAGGGTGCAGCATCACTCCAGCTGAAACTTAACTACAAGCTTAATAATTGCAAATATAAATATCTTAGTCGACTTGAACAACAAAAATGACTTATGATTCTTTCGTCAACGATTTAATGCAATCATGAAATAGCATATTTCATTACAATTCAATCTGATTATCATTCTTCAGGAAATTATTCAGTGTATCACAAAATCACCACAATTCAATTCAGTTCAGCTTGATTATGATTCTTTAGGAAACGATTCAGTGAATCATTAAATCTCAAAATGTCAACATGATTCAAATCAATTCAGTTTGATTATGAATCTTTTGGAAACTATTAAGTGGTGCATGACATTTCAAATTTCACCACAATTCAATTATGTTTGATTTTGATTCTTACAAACAATTCCATGAGTCATAAAACCTCACCTTACACTGAGATTCAATTCATTTTGATTCATTTGGTACAATTCAGAATAATTTAATAAAAACACACTGAATACACAAATATAACTGGAGGAACTGTTTACACAGAAGCAGGACATAAACAATAAAAACAACACACCAAGATTTTTTTAGTTTTACATTTGAAAATAGATACAAACATTTGATTTTGGCAAAAAAAACAGTGCTACTTCATAAAATCACAATTTTAAGTGATTATAACAGATTCTAACATTCCAATATTAATGCAGGTGGGGAAAACTGCACAGGACTGGACTGGATACTTTCTTAACTGAATAACATACTGAGGCCACGCCTCCCCCTGCTGATCTGCATATAGAGAATAGACCCCACCCTTTGGACTGCTGCTGTTTTGAACTCATAGCATCACTTCAAATAATAGTCAGACATAAATAATCAATAAAATTCTAAGTAATTTTGAAAAACAATTGAAAGATTAAACTTCATGCTCATATTAAAATTTCATCCTTTAATAAATGTACCTGTCGTGGGAATTTATTAACATATAATATTATAATATTTATATAATATTATAAACGATTTCATATTTCAGCTAAACAGATAAACTCAAGAACTCCACCCCTTTTTTAAAATACCCCCATAATTAAGTGGTTAAGATGTAATCAGAGTGGTTTAGAGTGGTTTGGTGTCAAACTCTCTGTTCTAGATAAACTTACCGAGTCAGAACTGTTCACAGTGGTGGTGATAGGAACCAGACGTCCACCTCTAAAAGCTCCCTCACAGAAAGTTACTACATGAAATGGTTATGAATTCACTGCCTGATGACTGAGACACTGTTTTATGATAGTTTAGAGAACTTAAACTCCATTCATGGTGGAGGGATACATGCAGGGCGCTGTGAGAGCAAAATAGTCCCCAAAGAAAACTTATTATTTCAGATTTTCCACTATTTTCCATCATCAACACTCCATATAAACTCAGAAGACTCGTGTAGGTTCACTGGTGGTTCTGGATAGTAAATGAAATGTCTATATTTGTGTTGTAGTCATGGCGACCCCTGGTTCCTATCACCACCACTGTAAAGACATCTGAACCATTTCACACCAAACCACTCTGAATCACTCTGATTACATCTCACACACTGAATTATGGGGGAATTTTGGAAAATGGGTGAAATTCCCCTTCAACTAAAAGTTATTAGGTTG